GGAAGCCACTTCCCATCCTCCCCCTGCCACAGGGAAGCACCTCTTGCAGAAAGACCCAGCTTGTCTAGCCCAATGCTAGCCAGTAGCAAGGAAACAGTCCTGGCTCTTTTGCCTTCCAAATCTCTACCAAGGATATCTATTTTACAGAATCTAACTCCCTTTCAGAAGTTTAGTTGCACAGAAACCTAGAAGTACCATCAGGAAAAGAATGAAAACCTCCAGCTCCTGGAACATGAGATAGCACACAGAAAGGGAGGCTCAGCTGCTAAGCAACAGCTCACTCCATCACCTCAGACTCTGAGCCCAGTAGCCACATGCTACATCTTGCCTGTCACCCCAATTCTGAGCTCAAGGAAAGTTGTAAGTATCAAGTGGCCCCTCTACAATGGTTCTGGTAACTTTTCAGAGTTTCTAAATATGAAATGTGATGGCAGGAATCACAGAATGCTACATCTCAGAGGAACTGGAAAGAACCGATCCGTTTTCTCTCTTTTACTGATGAGAAAGCAGATAATTATAGCAGGGTGACGGGCCAGACTAAGGCTAGCCAACTAGTCTGGGTGATATGGGAAATCTTTGTAGAAGGGTGGAAAATGCTCTCTCAGCATGTGCCCCAAAGAATGTACCTCTAGGCCTAGCACTAAAGGAATGGTTGGGTACTGATGGGTCACCTTGGATCCTTGATTTTGGGAATAAGTCTATGTCCTGTGTTCCTTCACACAATCATGTTACCTTTAAGATCCTTCTGACGACCCTATGTAAAGTAACCCTCCTCCTCCAGGTTATTTTCTATCACTCCATAGTTTTACTGACCTATTGCTTTCTGAGATGATCTCAATTATTCGTGTATTTATTCAGCTTTTTATAGTCTGTTACTCCTACTTACATTAAAATATAAACTCCCTGAGATCAGGGCTTTTGTTTAGCTCACTTTTATGTGCCTAGCACCAACAAAAACTATCTGATCCAAAGTAGATACTCAATAGCTCTCAGTCAGAGTGGAAAATGACGTCTTACCTCACAGAAATATCTCCTTCCAGTTAGTCTAAATATAATTGTTATATTGGATTAATTAATAAATTCACAGGTATTTATTGAGTCACTGTGGTCACTCAAGTCCCCCACCAGTTTGAACCCATTCCACCATTCTGAAGTTCCACCTTACGATGACTCTTCAGAGAGACCCACTTCTTGAGTGTGGGGCTGGACTTGATCCTTCTTCCCACTGAACCTCTGCTAAGGCTGATCCTTTTCCTGCTCTGGCTTCCCCATTCCTTCTCGACCTTTAACCCTCGGGTAAGGCCCATTTCACTCCTCGTTAACCACTTTAGTTGTTATAATTATTCGTTGCTCTACATTGGAAATAGCTGCTCTGTAGCTGTATAGGTGAGCCCAAGTATAGAGAAGATATATCACCAGGTTCTAGACTGATTTGGTATCCACACTGCCTGCAGTGCAACCAGCCTGTCTCCAGTGCTCAAAGCCATAACATCTGGCACTGCTATCTGGGACTGTTTTATAAACTTTTGACCTCTGAATACACGCTTTTCTTGAGTTCTGACATTAGTATTTAGGGAAAACATTTATGAATGTAACAATGCTCCAGAATCTTCTTAAAAGAGGGCATCCTGCAGTCAATTAAGACTTCAAATAATGTATCTGAGAATCTGAGCATATATATTTTTCTGATGTTTTTTCTTCCCACCTGCTAAGCTCATGAAGGGATCATCTCCTTTGCCTCTTTGTAACTCCCTTGAGATCTCAACCATGCCCTGCCTAGAGCTGCCCTGCCATTGGCTTACCTATTGGTTAGTACAAAGAGATTTGATTGATAAGAAACAATTTAGATTAAATACAAATTGTCGTGCACAAGGCTAGATTTTGGTTCACATGTGATCTTAGGAGTTTTTCTTTCTTTTATATTTAGAGCAGAGTTATATAATAGCAACATTTTTGTCTAAAGATAGTTTTCCAAATAAATATTTTTGAGTCACTACTCTGCAAGACTCAGGCATTGCCTCCCGACTCCATCTGCCTAAGCCTCCTTCCAAGAGTCTGTTTTTCCCTAGGGTGACGGTGTTGAATGGGGCCTAAGCATATTCCCTGAGAGGATGGCTGGTCCTGGTGATGAATGATGGGAGAGAGGGATTTAACTTAGTTCCAAGACAGAAGTATCTGAAAGGGAAGGGGAATGGTACACAAGCCACACAGATGAACGTAGGTTCTTCCTCTCAACTTTTGACAAGTGATTGCTAAGAGCCCCAGTGGGAAGTAGTAAATAGCAGCATAGAAAGGTAAGATTCTTATGTTTATTATTACTAAAACTTCTGGATTCCAGGGATGAAAGAAGCTGAAGCTTTCTTGACCCCAGGAGTGTGAAAAGCAGTAGTCCCTGGGCCCCTTTCTTTGGTCTGTGTTATGGTCTGAATGTATCCCCCAAAGTTCATGTGTTGGAAAGTTAATCCCCAGTGTAACAGAGCTGAGCCTTTTAGGGGTGAGTAATTAATAAAGGTTCTGGCCTCATGCATGGATTAATGAGTTTGATACTGCAGGAGTAGGTTCCTGATAAAATAATGAGCTTAGTTTTTTCTTGCTGTTTTTGCTCTCTTGCCTTTCTGCCTTCCACCACAGGATGACACAACAAGAATCTCCTTTACCTTAAGATTGGACTTCCCAGCCTCCAGAACTGTGGGAGATAAGTTTCTATTGTTTCTAAATTACTCAGTTTGTGGTATTCTTTTAGAACAGCCTGTGAAGTGGTCATACCTTGTCAGGGGTAGGAAGAGCCCCAGTTAGGAACAAGAGGGTTGAAGGAACACTAAGGGGAAGGCAGAGGGCTGTTGGGGAAATTCAGGTGGGATGAAGAAGCATTCGCACCACAGTCTGGAATTTTTAATGTTAATTTACCTACAAAATCACTTTTTTTCAAAGTAGATAAGTTGTCAAAATATGAGAGTGATTTTCCTTTTCACAAGGCACAAAGAGTGAAACATAATCTGGAATTAGTTTTTTCATAAATATCACTACCAAAGGTGCTTTACAGATTAAAGCTGGAATACAGGGGAGAAAGTAATGCATTCAGTTTTTTTGTTGTCCTTGAAACTTTATCTAAAGTCTTGGCTAAGATCTGAAATCTAGGGAAGGTACTTGTAGACACGGAAACTGGAATGTGAGCCCTAACCTGGAACTTCTACATAATTACTGTCAATCTTTTCCCTTTACCCCAAACACACCATGCACCAAAGACAGTTATGGCCCAGCTTTTTAATGCTTGCATAATTATAAAAAATTGAAAGCCTGGGTGAGGCACCAGTCCCACTCAAGATGACAGGAATAGTCCCAGGAGGGGAGAAATTACACATGAGTTAGCAACAAACAGAAGTGGGCTCACCCACCCAGAAGAGGGTGGAGACAACAGGATAAGCTGAATTTCCTATCTGCTTCAGAAGTTCTGGAACAAATCTGAATCTGCATATGTCAGATAAAACTGTTGAACCACAGAGGCAGCTGTAGGTGTGAGTTGGGCACAGTGCACACTGGCAGGAACCTCCAGTCCTCCCTCGTTTGATAATAGAAGTCATGTCTTCCCAAAGGGTCTGCCTTCACACTGCCCTCAGCCCACATGGTTTAGGATTGGCTCCAGGTATAGGCATGGCATCCAGGTCTAGTGAATCAGCATGTACACCTATCTCCAGCCACAGCTCAGGGATGGGAGCATGCTTCAGTCAGTCAGAGCCCAGAACTTCCTTATTTTTATAACTCTTGAAAGAAACAGGCCTTTACAACTGGTATTAATGAGAAGAGATGATAAAGGTAGGCAACTGCTGGCAGCCATCTTACTACCATGATGTAAGAACGTAATAATGGACCCCAGATGAGAGCTTTTAGTGCTGAGGAAGGAGGAAAAAAAATAATAATGGACCCCAAACCGAGGAAAGCAGAGCTAAAAGATGGAGAGAGGGAGCTCAGCCTCTGGATCCAACTAATACCTAAAACTAGGTCTTCCTTTGATTGTCACTTGTTGCTCCAATAAACTTTTTACCACCCTAAAACCATTTTGAATTGGGCTTCCTCTACTTAAAACATCAAAAGAAGGGCCGGGGATTTAGCTCAGTGGTTTCACCACCTGCTGTGCAAGCGCAAGGACCTGAGTTCGATCCCCGGTACCAAAAAAAAAAAAAAAAAAGAATTTGGCCAGTACAATTGGAGAACATAAATGGTGGGAACCCACAGACTGGGGTTCTGGATGCTGCTTTCAGGATGAGGTGACATCTATCTAACTTCTGGATACCCTTGACCCTGATGGTTTTCACAGCAAAGAAACATTTTCTGATACATTAGACTCCTTTGGTGAGGCCCTTGTAATATATTCCCATGTAGATAAGCATGTGACAGACACACAGCAGCAAAATCAGCATCTCTGGATGTGCCAGTCAATCACTGCTTTCAATCCTATACAAGAAGAAGAAGCTCCCTTAAAGCTTGGTGATTCCTGGTATATTACTGTCCACATTTTTATTAGATTATGAAGGTTAATCTTCTCTCTATTCTTCCTCTGTTTGCTCGGCATATGTACATACACATCACAGATAGACACTGTGACATGTCTATCCTCTCACTTCTATAGTGGGAACTTCACTGTCCTTTGGGGCTGAGAAGTCACTGTTTACCACCACATGTGAGCTGCTTTCTAGGTAATAGAAAGGAGTCTTTTTATTGTGATTGAGATAAATCATAAAACCCAGAATTAGGGGTGGGGATGCAGCTCTGTGGTGCCGTGCCTGCCTGGCAAGTGCCAAGGTCCTGAGTTTGATCCCCAGTACCAGAAAAAAAAACAGAACTAGTATGCTAAGTATTTTGAATCTACCATGGTTGCAAACTAAGCTTTAAAATATGAATGTTAATTGGGGCAACCCACTTTCCGGTCCCTCTTCTGTCTCTGTTAGACAGAAGCTTTCTTTCTCTCAATAAATTTTTCCTACCCCTAGAAAAATATGAATGTTATCCTGGCCAATAAACATAGAATTGCCATAGAGGAGTTAATTAAACATAATAAACAAGCAGAACAGGAAACTGCTATTTTTCCTGTCTCCAAGGCTTCTATTACAGAGGAAGGAAGGGCTAATCAACAAAGAACCAGGAACACAAGAAGAATGGGAGGTTTAGTAGCAAGTGGCAGGCAAGAAAAGCAAAGACACAACTTTAATGCTCACTGAGGAGGTAGGCGGGGAATAGGTAACAGTGTTAGTATCCATAAGTTATCGGCAGGCTTATCATGTTACCTGGTTTCTGATTACAACATTACACAGGGTTTGGGTGGGTGTTCCCACGCAGCCTTTGGCAACCAGGTTAATACATTGCAAAGAGCTTTGAAGACTGAAAGAAGTAAATGTTAAGGAATGGCATGATATAGAGAAGAAATAGGCAGGAGGGAGAGAGAGAATGTAGGTGAAGGATTAGGAATAGGAGTCTTCTTATTATTCAGTACAGAGAGTTAAGATAGCTCATAAGAAACTAAAAAGAAAATGTGTGCTACTTCAAAGATTTCAGAAAGTACTAGGACTCAAAATAATTCAGAATGATTCAGTATAAAAGTCAAGATTTCTGTGTGAGAACTTTCCAATCTCTAATGCCCTTTCCTAAGCACAGCATCTAACAAAGTCGATGTAGGTGAGACAGGCCTGAGACAAAGAGGGAATCACCCCTTTCCACGCCTCTGTAGAATTCCCCGTGCCACATGGCATTTGACACGTGGCTGTAGTACGAAAAAGGCCGCCCTCTGCTAAATGTGAGGATCTAGGACATAGAAATGGGTTTTATCGTGTTTTCTGGGAGGACAGGCTTTGTGCCTCTCGCCCACAACCTGAAGACGGCTGCTCACATCTGCTCAATTACTCCCCCACGGAGTGTGCCACGTGTCCCTGCCAAGGAGAAGAGAGGTGGTGAGGCCGAGGAACCTGTTCACACAGAGCCCCCACAGACTCCAGGGACAGCTTGGCGGGAGTGGAGCCTAGAAAAGCTCATGGTGAGCTGGTCAGTGTTGAAACCACAGGGCTGAAGGGAAGATATGGGATGTTGTGATTTAAATATGAAGTGTCCTCCAAAGACTCATGTATTGAGGGTGCTAACCTCATTCATGAGTTAATCCACTTATGAATTCATAGCAGAATGGGCCGTTAAGAGGTAGGGCACAGATTGTGGAAGAAGGTTGCTGGAGTTTTGTCCCTAGCCCCTTCCACTCTGACTCTTCAGTTCTCTCTGCTTTCTGGCTGCCACAAAGTGAACCGCTTTCCTCCACTGTACTGTTTCTCTCTCAGAGCCAGCTGACCATGGTCTGAGACCTCTAAAACAGTGAGCCAAAGTACACTTTTTCTCCTTTAAACTGTGTATGTCATGTCCCAGTGACAAAAAGCTAACACTGGAATAATAACAAAATCTTTCCTACAATGTTAAAACCTGTCTCTGTAAAGTAACCATGTCTGTCAAGATCCTGAGAACCGAAAGGGAGGTCACTATAAAGTGAAAGGGACTGAAAGAAAATCTGAAGAGGGGAAAAAGCACAGGAGATTTTACTGCTATGGCAATTGCTGCATTTATTCATTGCTGTGCTGAAAGTGCAGAAAGATGCAAGTAAGCTGATGAGGAGTAGACTCCACTCCTCTCCATTTGGAAGGAACAGCCAGGGTCCTGTGGCTGACGAGCAAGCAGCTACCCCTTGCAATGGAATGAAGGTGAAGGTATATATTGACTCATGAGCAGAGAAAACAAAGAAGAAACAACATTTAAGCAAGCTTTAAGATTATAGTAATTCAAATAACTAAATAAAATCAAAATGGGAAATTCAGGTTTGAACCTTGTCCAAACAAATCAAAATAGAAGCCAAAGCTGAACTGATTAGTGTGCTCAGAATTATTCTCCATGTATGTGATTACAACATTCCACTGAGGTGCCCTCCAATACCAAGAAGTTCTTGATTCCCAGTTAGTTCCCCTAGGAGTGCTGGAGACAGAGACTTGACTATTTGCATGACTTTTGCCAAGTTCCTTTCTCTTTCAGACTCAGTTTTCTTCTTTCTAAAAGAAATAGGAAGATAATGACTTTACAGCATTTTTGAAGACATTTAACTATGAATATGGAAGCTCCTTACACCTTGAAGTTGTAATCAAAAGCCTGTGGTAACAGTAAACTCAATAGTTTGCATTTCCTTTATCTTCTTGGGGCCATGACTTTTAAGTAAATTTAGGGATTAGGTGCTTTGCTTTATTGACCAATGGGGTGAGAAGCACTAGCTCCATGGAGTAGGTATCAGGGACATTCTGAAACTGTGCAAACCACTATGGATAATCTCTAGGTGGCTGTCATAGGTGAGTCATGGGATCTGTCCCCTCCTAACAGCAACTGTAACACAAGGTTAACATTAGCATTGAAAGAGACTGTGGTTAAGCCCAAAAGGGATGTCTTCCAGAGTAGAGAGGCAGTAATGAGTACTAGAGAAGGGCAGTGGGTGCCACTGTCCCTCCAGATGCTCAGACTCCAACCCCACCAACCACAAAGTGGGGAGTGAGAAGTTACTGTTTAGTGGGTACAGAGCTTTTGTTTTACGTGATCAAAAGAATTCTGGGGATGAATGGTGGTGGTGATTATGTAACAGTGTAAATGTACTTAATGCCACTGAACTGTACATTTAAACATAGTTCAGATGTTAACTTTTATATGATTTTTGCCCCAGTTTTTTTAATTATGAAAAGGAAAAAAGCCCATGCGTTACCTGTGATTCCCGTATGTGTTCACTTATAAAATAAGATAATTGGAAGAGACTCTGAGAGGATGAAAATGAGATTCTTTAGTTAATAAACGCTAAGTGACTCTTAGAACTACTAGGCTAGTGACACATGGGTTCCAGGTCTTCTCACGCCAGGTGGTGGCTCCAGCCTAGCTCCCGCCACTTGGACCCTCTACCGTCCCCACACTTACAAACCTCCGACCTAAGCAAGGCTCTGGCCTCATTTCTTCAGGGTGGCTCTGGATGAGAGCAAAGGAACCACAGGGGAAGCATGTTTAGAAATCTAAGATAAAAGGCAACAACACAGCATTAGCTTCTATAAGGGATGATGTGACTGGCAGCAGTTTCCCATGCCTTTCTGGATAACGGGAAGACATGATTTTAGATGATTCTGGAGGCTCCATGTTGTATATCCTGCCCTTGATGGCTTCTCTAATAAACAGAAGCAAAAATAAGCAATGAATACTCTGGGAGTAACTTGGCCAGAAAGAACATCTCCAATCCTGTGTCATTAGGCAATGTATAATGCAGCAGTCTCATCCTGGCATGTCCCAAGCTAAAAACGAAAACACAGTAAACAGCAAAATGGAAATCAATAAGAAAAATTCTGAGAGTATTTTTTGAAGGTTGTTTTCTAGAAAGAAGCAACTGGCTTCTACCTTAATGCCTGTTGCTAATTCTAGAGCACTGCAAAGATCTTGTACAGAGGTGGTGGAAGAAACTGTTGGCTTTCCTGATGATCCATAAGAAAGCAGAGTGAAGAGATTAGAGGAGCTGATGCTACCAGAGATAACATGCTATGAAGCTAGAAATGCCAAGGTTTGCAAATAGCTAGATACCTTCAAAGGGAGAGTAAGTTGAAATAACACTTCAAGGACCTTAAAAATGTGTGTAAAGGGCTGGAGATGTAAAGCAGTGGTAGAATGAATGCTTGCCTAGCATATGTGAGATCCTAGGTTCCATCCCCAGTACCACAAAAAGGGGTGTATTGTGTGTGTGTGTGCGATTGTTTAATTCTTCCTGTGAAAATAATAATTAAAATCCAGGATATTTTTCTTTTTTTGGTACCAGGGATAGAACTGGGACCTTCTGCTTGTGAGGCAGGCAGCAGAACCACCGAGCTAAACCACCGGCCCCAAATCCAGGATATTTTTGCAGCATTATTTATAATAGTGAAGAAAACAAGTTGTCAATACTTAAGTATTGTTTGACTAAGTAAATGATATTCTCTCTCTATATATTTTTTGGGGGTTGTTTTGTTTGGTTTGGTTTGATTTTTTGAGACAGGGTCAACCTGGCCCTGAACTCACTATGTAACCCAAGCTGGCCTCCGACTTGTGGCAATCCTCCTGCCTCAGCCTCCTGAGTGCTGGGATTATAGGCGTGCAACACTACTCCTGGCTTATAAATGATGATATTCTTATACAATGGAATACAGTACTATGAAGCCACTGGGTAGTGGAAATCTGTTATATATATATGTATACATATGTGCTATATATGCCTATGTATATATATAACATGTTATGTGATTATATATATTTATATGATAGATATACATATGGCTTGGCGACATATATCAGTGCTTCAAAGGAAGTTTAACTCTTTCTGTACATATTCATCCCTAGCAGAAATTGGACCAGCCCAGGATGCTCAGCACAGCAATGTTTATAGTAGCAAACCCTATGCAAAAGCCTAATAACTAAGATTAGCTGTACCATGAAAACAACAAAACCTAAAAGAACCACAAACTACTCAAGCTTGGGGTTTGGTTACCTCTGGGGGCTATATTTTACTAGGAGGACAGTGATGGTGGAACATGGCCAAATATGGTCTACTGGGGTCCACCTTGGAAAACTTAATCTGTTCTGATGAGTTAACTGGCTTTTAAAATAAAATCTCAGACTGAGCTCTCCTGGGTGTGGAAATGGGTTGAGGGTTCAGCCCTCCTGAGAAGAGTTATACTGCTCCTGCTGGTGCCTTTTGAGAGAATTTCTGGCTTAACGGTTTGCCAGACAGCAAAGAGAATGAACTTGTACCCTAGGGTTTTCTGTGGATGCAACAATGGGGAGCATCCTCTATCTGTACACTCTGTCAAGTTTCTTTCCTTTTTAAATTTTTTTTCACTTTATGAAAAAATAAAATAAAATTTCATAATCAAGTTATAATAACAAGTTATTGCACCATGTATCATTATCTTCAAGGTAGTTACTCAGAGTATAAGACATAAACCAAAAAGACTCTTACGAAAAGAAACATAACAAATCTTTCTTTTCAATGAACTAAGATAAACTAGTAGTATAGGTGAAACCAATTTATATATATATATTTTTAAAAAAAAAAAACAATGCAGTTTGTAATTTGGGGAAGTGTTTGAACTTCTCCCTCTTTCCTAATTTATGACTCTTTGTTTTTTATTTGTTTCTCATATAAGAGAAACCATGCAATATTTGAGCTTGAGTGTCTGACTTATTTCACTTAACATTATGTTCTCAATTTGCATCCATTTACCTACAAATACCTCAAGTTTATCTTTTTTATGGCTGGCTAGAATTCCACTGTGGGTACATACCATATTTTCCATATCCATTCATCTGTTGATGAATACACTGTTTCCGAGGTCTAGCTATTAAAAACTGCCCTGCTATAAACATGGGTGTGCATATACAGTGGCCTTTCTCCTTGATGCTTTATCTGATGGTACAGGACTAAGTGGCCTATGAAAAGGGGCAGGGAGGATTGTGATCTGATGTTCTGCCTCCATAAGTTTCTGGCTTTGTCACTTCCCCTGCTCTGGTCTGCTGGCACCCTTAGGTGTCCCAAAGTAACAGATGGCTTCAGTGCCCGCCTACCTGCAATAGACTTATGCTTTTGGCCTTGGAAAGTTTACCTTGGTGTGTTATAAGTTCACACACTCGCAGCATGACTTGATTCTCTATGCATTTACGCACGTTAAAGGGTAGTTTATATATTTGTTCTAGAATGTTCAGCATGAAGGTTTTAGGCTATCTCATCTACACTATATTTCTAGAAACCAAAGCCCTATCCCTTGGATTAGAAAAAAACCCCTCTGATGTTTGGATGACTATTGTGGAGTCTAGCAATACTAGATGGTTTGAGTAGCCAGGTAGTTGGCACGGTGTGAGTGTGTGTGTGTGTGTGTGTGTGTGTGTGCTCACACGGATTTATCTGTGTGCATCTGATATAGGGGACAGTGTTGATGTCATAGCAAGAGACCAGACAGTGGATGTCAAGCTCAGAAGAGAGCTGTAGAAATGGCCTGGTGAAATGGCATCACTTCTCAGGAGGCAGAGGGGCAGGATAACCTCAAGATGAAGAGACACCAAGCCAGGCTGTAATCCCAGCACTTGGGAGGCTGAAGCAGGAGGATCTCTGAGAGTTCAAGGAAAGCCTGGGCTACACAGTGAGTTCAGGGCCAGCCTGAACTACAAAGCAAGACCCTGTCTCAGAAAACTAAAACAAAAACAAAAAACAAAAAACAAAACAAAACAAAAAAGATGAAGTGACACCTGATGCAGGAGAGTGTCTTGGCAGGAACCTGAGAAACGTACTATGCGGACATCCAGACAAGCTTGGCTCTGTCACCAGGGAGTCCTTTGGCAAGCTGCTTGATCTCCTGGGACCATGGTTTTCCATATGTCAATGAAGGTTAACCAAAGTATCCATGGGGTACCTTCAAGCTTTAATTTTCTGATTCTGTGTTTAGATATGGAAAAGACAAAAAGTGGATACAGTTTTTTTTTGGTGCATGAGATCTTACAGTATTTTCCATCTGTATAATTTATACATTCAGAAATAGATATAGGAAATGACATCATATATAGTAGAAAGAGCCTATTTTAGATTCTAAAAATACATTTTAATAGCATCCTTCCCCCCAAAGGGCATTACCTCAAGTCCGAATCTACTAATTCATTATTATTATTACTATTATTATTAATTTAATAAGTATGTATGGAAGGTTGGTTACATGCCTGGACTTGTTCTAGTAGCTGAGGATAAGCTGTGAGCACATTCTAGTCTATAATGGGAGGACATAGCCTTTCCAGGCTGCATCAAATTGCTTAGCATTATTTATGTGATGTCCTCTTTCTGCCCTCCTTAGCTAAACTGAAAGCTTCTTAAAATTATGAGCCAGTGCTTATACTTCCAACCTTCACATTGTGTGCACCATAGTCATAAGACACTAGTATCTGTCAACATCAGGCTGTTGGGAATACACACGTTATTTCATTTTTATCTCAACTATTTGGTGAAGAAGGGTAATTGTTAGCATCTTATTTCCTTACATGTGATAATGAGAGGTGACAGATGAGTACCCAGTGATAGACACATCTCTCTCAGTGCTTTTTTAGTTCTATGAGACTGGCTACACTGAGCTTGAAATGTCAGTAAGCAACCCTGGGTACCAGGCAGTCTACAATGGTGATTAAATATGGGCTTTGCAGCTAGACATATGTGGTTACTCCACTCTTTAGCTAACTTCCTTCTTGATAAAATGGGGCTAAAAGTAGCCCCTTTTTAGATTCTAGTGAGTTAACTTGCTTTTAAAGTAAAATCTCAGGCTGTGCTCTCCTGGGTGTGGAAATGGGTTGAGGGTTTAGCTCTCTTGAACTATGAACTAAAAATATAAATAAATAAATAAATACTGACCATGAATTTAAAAATAAAAGGATCGCATGTTATTTTTATTAATTTGATGGACAGTCAAATGACAGTGATGAAAATCAGTTACTAGGGGTAGCGTGGAAGTTGGATGGAAGATTGTCATCACTCTGATTATATGTCCCTTTTGTCATTACTTGTCCTTGGCATTTGCTCTGCACTCAGAAATTAAACTGCTCTCTCTGATTTGGTTTATGACACCTCCCAATAATAAGACTCACGAGGCTTAAGACATATGTTAGTGCACATCCTTTGTTAACTATTGAAATCTTCTTTGTCCTTTACATTTTAATTGGTCCTAGAATATGTTTTATGTTGTAAATTCCAATTGGACAGACAACACGTGTATGTTCAGTATACTTCGTATACTTACTGTTGTTATTCTATCTCCTGCTTTAGGGTTTGTTTTTCAGTGTTCCTGAGTCACGATCTCTTTAACCAGATTCTCTGCAGAAGTAGAGAGTTGTAATTTCTAATAAAAGGGAAATTTGAAAATCATTCATTCATTCATCTAACAAGCAGTAATTGGAGTCTTACTAGGTTAGCCTGGGGTCAAGAAGACATATAACAGATTCCTTTTCTCAAGGGATGATGTCAAGTGAAGGAAAAGGATAAAGGATATACCCAGAAAGCATTCCCACTGGATAAAACAGAAAGTATGAGAAGATAATCAGTCTGAACTTCTGTCCTTTCTATATTAAGTCTTAGCATTGGTCAATGCCATTGAACTCAATGCGACCTAATTAAACATATGCATTTTGAAAGTCTGCTAAATAAGTCCTTGGGAATGAGTAGCATAGTGTCCCTGAAGGCTGATGATGTGAATGTGGTTTTGCCTGTGCACCCATCCAAGCTGCGGGTAACTGGCAGGTACAAATGATCAAGTTTTCCAGGTTTTACTTAATCACTTCGAAGTGCATAATATTCCTTTTTTATTATCTCAGATTGTTCCTGTGTTGGCTTAACATATTTAACAGCTAGGACCTCCTAGGTCTCTCGGCTAATTTTTTAACTAGAATCCTCTTTGTATGGTCATCTATAAAATGGAATATTTAACACTGGCTTTGTTTCTTAATGGACTGTTGTTCAGATAAATGTATTTCTCTGAAATGGAAAATATTACTTATGCTTTCTACTGGAATTGGCTGATAGTTTCAGTAGCTGCTGATTCCCTTTGAATGGATGTTTTGTGTTTTGATTCCTTTGCCTACATAAGCCTTTATTTTCATTGAAAAGTCTATCATAAGTTAAATTACTTATTGATATTAAGACTTATTCCAGTTGGCAGCTGCCACTCCTCTTCTCTTTTGGCATCTAGAAAGAGTACAGGGCTGCAATAGAATTGTGGACTTTATGTCTGAAAAACTGTAATACACTGAATGTTCCGACTGATGCATAGGAATTCAATGTGCTCCTCAAAATATTATTTTCATCACAAGAACTTCCTGTTATTTCCTAAAGTAAAGCATGAGTTTTCCTCTTAAAGAAATAGCTTGCTCAAATTATCTCATTGAGTAATTTGATTACAAAATGCAATGTTGCTTTAGTTCCATTGTTGTTGTTCAATATTTAGTTTAAGCTCTTTCTACATGAAATCCAAACAACTATTTTGACTCACTCAAATGGTAATTTGTAAATATAAAAGGCCAAATTTAAAGATATGAGCTCAAAATAAAAGTGTTGTTCTGACAATTACATCATCATCCCTCCAAACTTTATTTCATGAAGTTTTCACTTTCCACACAATATTAAATTATCATGAATGGGACAGAAATCATGTTAATACTGTAAACTTACACATATTGGAAATTCCCCATATTTCCATACCACTAAAGGAGAAAGGACTTCAGGATTGGTTGGATTCACTACCAGGTTTTTATTGTGTGGATGGCAGAGGACTGGGAGAAGTCTAGACAAGTTTAAATTTAGATACATTAGAAAGTACTTGGAGAGTCATTAGGATAAAATATCTTATAAAAAGAAGTTGGAGGAGCTTTCTATTTTTTATTTCAAGGGAAGAGAGAATGAAAAGAAGATGGTAGGCAGCTGCCTGGTGACGTGAGACTTTAGGGAAAGAAATGGATTAAGAGGAATTTTAGAGGAAGTTGGAGTGTGTGTGTGTGTGTGCGCGCGCGCGCGCGTGTGCATGCATGTGCGTGCTGTACAATGTAATTCTGCTTTGCTGCCTCCTCCTGAGACATTTACTAAGGACCTATCTTACCTTTCTAGTCTTTTTGAGGTTGTATATGTTCCTTTTCATTTTGCTACTTTGCTTACACCATCATCAAAATAGTTTGGTTTAATCAGGTTTTAATTTTGAGGTCTTCATCTGTGTTAGTTTTCTAGGGCTGCTGTAATGAAATAGTGTAGACTGAATGGTTTAAACAATAGAGATTCATTTTCTCACCATTCTGATGCCAGCAGTCCAAGGTCACAGTGCTCGCAAAGCTGGGCCCCCCTGAAGCCTCTCTCTTGGCCTGCAGACGACCCTCCCTGCTGCTTCTGTGCACAGTTGCCTCGTTGTGCATCCTTTTATAAGGACAGCAGTCAGATTGACCTAAGGCTCAGCTTTACAGCCTCATTTTTATTAATTCTGCAAAGACCCTATTCCCAACCACAGCCATGTTTTCGGGGGAACACAATTCAGCCTATACTGTAATATAAGGACATGATATCTTTAATTAATTCAGAGCATGGACTATTAGAGTTACAAAGAATCTTAAAGACTATCTAATTCACTCTCACTATATCACTAGTAAGTAAAAATTTTGCCCACGTTTACCTGTTACTCCTATTTCCCTCAGAAAGATTTTGAATACTGTACTTATGTCACTCTTTACAGCTATGCTCAGCCATTCCTAGTTCCTACAATTCTTTTTCTGACCAACTCACATAGTTTCTATTTTTACTATCTACTCTAATCATGAAGTTCTTTTTATCAAAACTGGAATATATTTATATTTATTTTTTTGTAGATTTTTTACAAGCCAAATAATTTTGGGTCATATCTTCAGGAATTTCTAGATAATCTAAGGAGTTCACTTAAAATTTACTAAGCTTTTGAATTGGACTAGAAAGAAAAAAATGCCTCTGACTGCATATCTTATTCTTTAGGAAACATGCTTATCTCATGATGCTGATTTACACAGAATGGGGGGGTCAGTTCTCTAGGAGGGAAATATATGAAGGGACTATTCTCTGTCCCTTCCCTTGAGAAAGGAAATAACTTCTCTGACCTGCAAGATTTGAAGAAGGAACTGAGCATTAATAACTGACCTCCTTCCTTTTTCTCTGGCTTATTTGCTCAAAGTTTATTGATCTCTGCCATGAGTAAATATATATGCGGTAATTCCATAATCATTTCCTCCTTTTCTCCCTATTATGGTCCAGTAAGTGTTAGGCAGCAATTGCAAGAACAGTGCCTGCTCTGCAGATGAAAATCCTCCCTTGGGAAAATTGTCCTGATGTCTAGAGTTTTGTTTTTTGTTTTTTGTTTTTTCCGGGTCTCACTATGCAGTTCAGGCTGGCCTTGAACTCACTATGTAGCTCAGCCTGGCCACGAAATTGTGGCAATTCTCCTGCCTCAGCCTCCTGAGTGCTAGGATTACAGGTGTGCACCACCATGCCCAGCTCAGGACTTAAAGCAGAATATTAGAAAACTGTAATGTGAAAACTGTAATTCCAAACTCAGCCTTATCAGGATTAAAGTTATTATTTTGATTTCCATTTCCCTAATTACTGTATGCATTCTTAATTTTTACCTGAATTCATATGTAGGAAATATTATATATCACTACAAAATGAGAACAATTTAACAGAAAACAAAACAAATTTCTTTGATTCTATTGAAAAAAAATCAGGCTCAAAAGGTCTTATCACCCTGTCAGGGTAAATACAAATGAAACTATACATAGGAATACCATAGTAAAACTGCTTTTTAAAAAATCCAAAAAAAGTACTAAAAGCAGCCAGAGAATGATAAAACATAACACCATGAAAGAACCAATGATAAGGTTGACAGCTGACCTCAAAACAGAGACAATGGAAGTTGTACTTCAATGCAACAGCATCCTAATGATAAAATAACTGAAAACCTAGAATTCTGCACCAAGTAAAAATGTCATTTCAAGGGTTAGGAATATAGTTCAGTGGTAGAATGCTTGCCTAGCACACACGAGGTCTTAGGTTTGATTGCCAGCATTGGCAAAAAATGTTTATTTAAGTTATTATGAAATAAAGGTTATTTTCAAACAATTTATTGCCAGCATACATGCAGTAAAAGAAAAATATGCAAAAATTAATCTCCGTGGCAAGACAGCTTTTAAAAAATGGGAGAGACAGATAATAAATCATAAGCAGGGCAGGAATAAGAAGGAAACATTGTCATAGATCTTATAGATATTATAGAACATGCTGAGAAAAACTCATGAACAACTCCCTATCAACAGTTTATAGACAAAGTAGAAGAAACAAGTATCTTGAAACACACAGCTTATCCAAACTGACAGAATAAGAAACAGAAAAACAATATAGTAATATATATGTTAAACACTTAGAATCTATCATTCACTACATTTTTGCAAAAAAATCAAGCCATAAGGTTTTGTTAGTGAATTATTTAAAACAATTAAGAAAGAGAAAATATTAGTCTTTTTTTTTTTTTTTGGTACCGGGGATCGAACTCGGGTTCTTGTGCTTGCACAGCAGGCAGTGAAACCGCTGAGCTAAATCCCCGGCCCCGAGAAAATATTAGTCTTAAACTCTGTGAGAATAGAAAAAGAGGAAATGCTTTTCACAAAATTTTTACCAGTTGGTATAACTTTCATACAAAATCTGACAAGAACATTAGAAGAAATAACGATTGCAATCCAATCTCATAAACATAGAAGCAAGAACTCAAAACAAAATTCTAGAAATTGAATCCAATTATATAAGAAGGGTAATATATCTTGACCAAATAAGGCTTATTCCTGGAATGCAAAACTAGCTTAAAATTTAACATCTTGCACATGTTTGGGATTTATTCCTGTATTTTTTTTAAATTTTACTCGTACATATTAGTAGTGTGTAATAATTACATTCATTATGAGGAGTTGGTACATGAACATAATACATCTTAATTCTTTTTACATCTCCTTCCTCTCTAAATTTCAAGTTTTTCTTAGTGCAATAGTAAATTTTATTTTAAATTTTATTTTCTAATTATTTATTGCTAGTATGTAGAAATCCAGTTGCTATATCCTGAACTGGTTTCCAACCACCATGTGAAGTTCACACATTAAGTCCAATAGTTTTTTTATACTCATTCTTTTAGATTTTCTGCACACATGTAATATATGAAAACAGCAGCTTCCTTCTTCCTTTGTCTTTACATCATGTATTGTTTTAAAATACCTTATATGGGGCCAGGGATTTAGCTCAGTGGTTCTGCCGCCTGCCTCGCAAACACAAGGTCCCGAGTTCAATCTTTGGTACCAAAAACAAAAAAACCCAAAAAACACCTTATATACACCATATATATTATATGTATATATAATATATACTTGTATATCTTATTGCATTGGCATTGATGTCTGCACTGAAAACTACAAAGTATTGGTGAGAGAAGTTAAAGGGGATTAAAGAATACATATAGCATGTGAATCTGTCCCAAATTTATCCACATATGAAATTCATTATCAATCAAAATATTAACAAAATGTTTGTTTTTGGTGAAAACTAACAAGCTGATTCTAAAATTTATATGAAAATCCAGAGAACCTATGTCTATAGCCATCCTAGTATTTTAAAGAAAGTTCAGAAATGAACAGGTCATGCCGCCAGACAGCAATTTATTATTAAGTTATAGTATTAAGAGAGAGGGTGGCATTGGCATAGAGATCGTCAAACCAATTACTGAAACATAATGTAGTCCAGAGATAGATTGAAACATATGCAATTACCTAATATATGATAGGATCGCCACTGAAACTCAGTGGATAAGGACAACTTTTGTCCAAAAAGTGTTGCTTGTTAAGGAGGATAGTAGTATGGGAGCATATTCTTTTATTTATTTTGGGGTGATTTTTTTTGAGATAGGATCTTGCTATATAGTATAGGCTGGCCTTGAATTTCAGGGCATTCCTCCTGCCTCAGCCTCCTGAGTGCTGAGATTACAGGCATGTGCCACCAGTGTGTCTAGCATTTTCTATACTATATTCCTATCTCTCACTATGTCCCCAAATAAATTCTAGGTATATTGCATGTGTAAAGCTTTAAGACTATAAGATAATATTTTCATGATATTAGAATAAGACTTCCTAAGCAGGAACTGGGCTACATTAAAATTCAAAACTTTTGTTCACCAAAAGAAACAATTTGGAGGGCAAAAAGGCAACCCAAGAGTAGTACAAGATATTTATAATACATGTAACTAGAAAGTGGCTTATTTCTCAAATATATAAAAACCTCCTATAAGTCAATAATAAAAATACGCACATTCACCCACAATAGGCAAATAGACAAGAGCAGGTAGTTCAAAAACAGTACATTTAAATAATAAAATTACCAGGACCAGAGAATTTAGCTCAGTAGTGCCATGCCTGCCTCACAAGTGCAAGATCCTGAGTTTCAATCACCCATACTGCAACAAAACAAAACAAAACAAAACAAAAACATGTGTTCATCTCATTACTAAACAAAGTAAGAAGAAAACCAAAATGAATTCCCATTGTACATATTCCAGAATGGTCAAAATTAACAAGACAAATGAGATGAAATGTAAGTGACCAAGCTGAGCAGCTGTGTCTCTTGTTCCTCATTGATGAGATGGAAATCCAACAGTCACTTTAGGAAACAGCACCCTCTAACACAGAGCAGGCACATTGCCTATGACTAGGCAACTGTGTTCTAGTTTTCCTTGCAGTTCTGGTTTATGCACACTGTTACAGCTCGTATCTAGATGTCCCCCGAGGCCTCGTGCACACCTATGTGGGGCTTTGTGGAGGTGGCTGGATCTCGGGTGTTTAACACTGCTATTAAGGGCGTTTGATAACTAGATTTGTTTACATGGTTCTAGCTGTGGATAATGGAAGGCCTACCCTAGGCTTGGGTGACACCCACCAACAGGCTTACAGCCTAGATACAATATATAAAGGGAAAGATGGAAGGCAGGCTGCTGCTGCTTGCTCCTCCTGCCAGCTCTGCTATAGACTGTTTCTCCTCTGACATGCCCCTCCATCGTGTCACCCTGTCTTAGAGGCACCTGACTATGGACTGAAACCTCTACATACTGTGAGCAAAAATAAACCTTCCCTCCTTTAACCGGTGGGCGTTGGGTATTTTGTCTCAGCAATGAGAAAGTAAGACACAT